ATGCTGTGCTTTTAGAGAACATGTTACTAAATTCTACAAATCAGAGGTTTTACAAGCTACTTTGTCTGATTATGACATATAAAACCAAAATTTAAAAAAAAACTCAGTGAAAAGTCACTAACTCATAAAATGAGACATTCTCTAACTTAAAAACTTTAGATCAAAGAAAAGTAACCAACATCCAAATTACTACTTTCCTGGGAAGAAACAATGGGGAAGAGTTCATTACATGAAAACTTAAGACCTACAACTAAAGCTGTTACAGAGAAAACTTGTCTTTAACTTATTTTTAAAGACTAAAAACAATTATGAACTTTATATTTAGCTAAAATAAATATGAAAAATAACAAACCAAAGAAAGCATGAAAACAAAAGGATAAAATCTAAAATAAATAAAATTAAAATGAAGCCAAAATAAATAAAGAAGACTAAATTAAACCAAAAGCATTTTTTAAATATGTCACATAAAATGGGCAAAATTTGGGGGGGGAAGTGAGAAAACAAAAATATACAACAGACCTGAGGAACCACATATATCCACAAAGATGCAAGAATAGTAAAATTATAAGAGAATCATATGTGGCATTTCACAGCAATAAATTTTCCGAATATAGAGAAGGAAACGTTGCTTACTAGTAAAATTTTAACAAACTGATCCTAAAAAAAAGGTCATTAGACCAATAACTGAAGATGAGATTTGCAAATCCATTGATGACATAAAAGCCAACAGGACTGTGAATCTCTGCCCTGAATTCTAGCCAGCCTTTCAAGAGCAGATTAGTCATGATGTCACACACTTTCCACAAAATATGGAGAGCTCCACAAATCATTAACAAAAAACCACAGGAAAATTTCTCTTATAGTTCTGATTGAAGTGTACCTACTAATATATTAGCTCAAGAGTATATTATAAAAATAATATACCATGACCCACTGAAATGTGCTGTCTAGTGGCTTTCTGCTATTCACAGTGGACTTTCCACCTAAAACATAGGAAATGTTCAATAAATTTTTTGAGTTTTTTGGGGGGAGGTAATTAGGTTTATTATTTGTTCTTAGAGGACATACAGGGGATTAAACCCAAGACCTCGTGCATGCCAAGCATGCACTCTACCACTTGAGCCAGACCCCCCTCCAATAAATTTTTTTAAATAAATGAAAGTCCAGGTCACGTCTATTCCAAAAATATAAAGCCAGTTCAACAATAGGAAATATAATCAATATAAGCCATTATATCAATACATTAATCTGGGACACAGGATGAAAACCATTAGTTAATTAGATGCAAATTTTCAGTTGTATTTTGGCAACAACCATTTAGTAATGGAAATGGAAGAAAAAAATAACAGTAATGTAATGTTGAAAATGATAACTACCTAGAAAGTTATATAATTCAGGTCAAAAATCATTTAAGATGTTAGAAAAGAAATCATATCTGGAATGGGATTTATATCCAGAATATATAAAGAACTCTTGACAACTCAATAAAAAGACAAAACAAAAACATTTTAAAAATGGGCAAAGAACTTTAATAGACAATTCTGCAAAGAATATACACAATGGCTAATAAGCACATGAAAAGATGCTCAACATCATTAGTTATTAGAGAATGCAAATCAAAACCACAATGAATGACTGGATAAAGAAGTTGTGGTATATTTATACAATGGAATACTACTCAGCCCCAAAAAGATAACATAGTGCCATGTGCAGCAACATTGATGGATCCAGAGACTGTCATTCGAAGTGAAGTAAGCCAGAAACAGAAAGAAAAATATCATATGCTATCACTTATATGTGAAATCTAAAAAAAAAAATGACAAAACTTATTTACAAAATAGAAACAGACTCATAGACATAGAAAACAACCTTATAGTTACTGGGAAGAAAGGGGGTGGGAAGGGATAAACTGGGAGTTTGAGATTTGCAGATACTAACTACTATATATAAAATAGATGAATAAGCTCATACTGTGTGACACAGGGGACTATATTCAATATCTCATAGTAACTGATGATGAAAAAGCATATGAAAACAAATTTATGTATGTTGATGTATGACTGAAACATTATGCTGTACACCAGAAACTGACACATCATAAACTGTCTATTACTTCAATAAAAATATGTAGACAAAAACAAACCCACAATGAAATACCACTTCACCACCAGGATGGCTATGATTAAAAGGATAGAAAACAGCAAATGCTGGCAAGGATGTAGAGAAATTGGAACCCTAATACATTGCTGGTGGGAATGTAAAAGTGAAAAAACGTGTACATAATATTCATAGCAATTGTGCTGAACACTGGAATTTGACACAACACTGTAAAATGATTATGAATCAATAAAAAATGTAAAAAAAAAAAGTGGGAAATAAAAGGAAAAATAACAACAACAAAAAAATTCATAGCAGCATTCATAATAGCCAAAAAAAAAAGAGAGAGAGAGAGAGAGAAATAACCCAAATGTCTATCAGCTGATGGCTGGATAAACAAAATGTGGCATACCCTACAGTGGAATATTATTTGACCATAAAAAGGAATGACAGATGATAAAAACCACAACATGAATGAACCTTGAAAACATTTATGCTAGGTGACAGAAGCCAGACACAAAGGCACATATTATATATGAACTATGTATATATTTATATGAAATGTCCATTATAGGCAAATCCACAAAGACAGAAAGTAGGTTAATGGCTGCTAGGGACTAGGGGAGGGGAGAATGAGGAATGACTGCTAATGAGTACAGGGCTTCTTTGGGGGCTGATAAAAATGATCTGAAGTTAGTGTTGCTGGTAGCATAACTCTGTGAAGATACTAAAAGACACCAAAGTGTACACTTCAAAATGGGAGTTATATGGTACATGAGTTGTATCTCAGTAAAAGTGTTCTTTAAAAAAGTGTTTCTGTAAGACATAAAGCAATGTTCCTGAGATCCAAGACTTATCAAAATATTGAGCCATCAAAACTAACATAAAACTTTCAGACAATTTAGCTTAGCAAACACTTTTTTGGGTTGCGCTTGAAATTTTTACAAAAGGGAGACGAGATCCACTGGATGTAACTGTTTTAATTCAAAGGGGGAAAAGGTATGTCAAAAATACAAACTGTAAAAAGGGCTTTCCTTGCTAGATATTACTTTTTATTACAAAGCTCCCTTAGTCAAAAGAAAAATACACCAGTGACAAGAAAAAGTCCAGAAATAGTCAAATACGTGTACAGTGTCTATTTGCCAAAAAAAAATTTTACACCTTATACTGTATAAAAATATATATTTGAATTAAAAGTATAAAACACAAAAACAAAAACAAGGAAACACTCAAGCAATAACATATTAAGTCTGTTATAAAAAGGTAGAAATTCTTAGATTAGATTGAAAAGATTGGGCTACATGGTGCTTACAAAGGAGACACTTAAAACATCTCATAAAAGTTCATTCATTCCTTTAATAACTTTTCAACACTTACTATACCCCGAGGATACAACAGTGAAAAGCAAAGACCTCCCCCTGCAGCCTTCATTCAAGAAGGGGAAAACGGACGGTGAACAGCACAGTCACAAGGAAACTCGGGTGTGATAGATGAGAAATGCTATGTTAAAAATAGACAGTGGATTAAGGTTAGGGGGATGGGAACGCTGGGCGTTAGTGCAACAATTCTAAGCCGGAAGTCTGCGTAGAGCTTACTGAGCAGCGACATTTGAGCAAGGTCCCAAGGCGGTGGGGGGGGGGGAGCAAGCAGGCTCCCTGAGGAAGGCTTACGGCAGGCAGGTGCACCTGGTACTGCAGGCAGGTACACGTGGTACCAGGACGAAGATGGCCTCGTGCCTGGTATGCTTCTACATCAGCGAGAAGGCAAGTGGGGCCCGAGCAGAGTGATCAAGGGGTGGAAGAGGTGAGACTAGAGAAATAACGGGGCCACCTAACCCACTCTAAGAACTCTGGCTTTCACCCAGAGAAAAATGTAGATGCGGAGCAGAGGAGTGACACAGAATAACCCCACACACAATTCTGTGAGGCGCACGCGGGATTCTATGGTCAGGTGCCAGGGAGGAGGAGCAGCAAAACCTGCTCTGTGCCTGTTCCCGGAACGCAGCCAAGTACCCTGGGCTGGTCAGGGTAACCACGCGGGGAGGATCAGAAGATGTCAGACTCTAGATGCATTTTAGATACAGGGCCCAGGGGTTTTGCTGACCAAAAAGATAGGGAGCCTGAGGAAAAACACAGGTCAAAGATGATTTCAAGGAATCTGCTATGAAACAAGAAAAGGAAGGCTCCAGAGGGAGCAGGTTTGGGAGGGGGAGTCCAGGACCTCAGTGTTAGTCACGGTGAGCTCAAGTCTATTAAACATTCAATCAGACACAGAGTGGACCGTTAGGTAAAAGCATCTCAGGTGCAGGAAGAGGTCTGCACACTAGAGATTATCAGAAGTGACCAGGCCACAAACAGTCCTGATGAGAAGACACGGGATCACCAAGGGAGAGGCCTCAGACTGAGAAAGGAAGAGGACCAAGGACTGCGCTCTGGGGCACACTAACCTCCAGT